ACAAGTAGCATCTTATAGCGAGAATAAAGGAAAAATCGTCGTCACAAATTGCACTGTAATTAACTTTATTTGAGAGAAATCTCAAATGCATGGCTTCACTTACTGATTAAAACTGATATAAAATGTTTAAGATATACAATGCACAATATTAATTAAAATTATGGTATTTCTATATTAAAAAATATATATATCTATAGAATAATTTTTTTTTTATTTCAAATAAAATCGAATATAGCGATAAAAATCAAAATAAAGTAATTGAAGGGTAAGAAGTTGCTATAAAAAGAAAAAATGCTATTAAAGTTTAGAATGTTATTATTGAAATGAAAATGTTGTATTAAAATGCATAACCTTTGTATATTAAATCAAATAAATATATTATCCAGTAAAATTATTTTGCTGATTTCTGAAAGGTTTTGATAATTTTCATATTTTATTAATGTTAAAAGTTTCTCGATAGAAAGAGAGGTTAAATAAGTTATCTTAAAAGCTAAAATATTATGTGCGACAGTGAAACTCTAGGATATCTAAACCAAAGTGATAACTTGTATAATCTCGTCATCAAAACTATCAATATAATAAAAACTAAAATAAGTTAGTAAAAAACAGATGGGAAGCAATTTCTAATGGGAGTATAGGGAAAAATATGTTATATTAAACATTGATTAGTTTTATAAGAGAAACATCTCCATGCATTATCATCTATTGATTGAATAAAAGGATTTAAAATATTGCTCAAATAAAAGGTTTAAAATAACAAATATAAATTTACTTCTTTTAAAATTAAAAACATATCTATAGCAGATTGTGTAAATTTCGCAAATTGCTAAATATCTATTAAAATTGTAAATATTGTTATTATGTGTAAAATTTTTATTAACGTCAAGAGTTATAATTAACATGTAAAATGTTTTAAATTTAAAAACGTTGTAATTTTAAAGAGTAAAATGTTGTGTTAGAAGAGTAAAACCTACAGAAAAATAAATCACAAATAAAATAAAATCACAGATAACGTGTCTGCGTTAACCAAACTTTGAAGGGGATTTCTTTGCCCAAGTTATTTTTCTAGACGACGCTGCTGTTAACTCACATCAAAGTATGGGCTTGATTGGGTAAATATATAAATTCTTTTTGAATAAATATATATTTATATTCCATTTTAGAATCTATATATCACTTATATATTTATTTATTAAATAAATAGAGCCTATATATAATATATATATAAATATATTATCGCATTTTGTTTAACCTTTATCGATTGCTTGTACCAAGGTGTTTGCCCTTCATAGTATCGATCGATTACTGGGGATATTCTTTAGCCCTTCTTGCGTCCGATCGGTAATGTCATTCAAACGAAGGCTGAAACTCTAGAAACGTTTTATTAATAAATAATGGCAAATAACGTAACGGTAAGTTTTAATATTGTAAACAATCGTTTTGGGATGAATCAATTCATTCTAAAATTTATATTTTAGTGCAAAACTATACAAGATGATCAATGTACAAGATGGTGGATGTACCAAGATGGATGAAGAAGATTACCTCTGAGAGCATCAAATGAAATCGATTGAAATTTCCCCCATTTCTCTACCGGCAAATGTTATATAACTTTTATTAATATTCAATAAACAATTTAATATATTTTACAATTAAAAATAATTCTTATTACGAATTTCAAAACGTTCTTTCATAAATATTTTAAGGTTCATTATTTAATACAAGAAAATTGCATTCAGGTATTTTTATATATAAATATTAAATGATCTTTTTATTTAAAATATTGAATGACCGTGGCAATAAGGAATTTTAAATAATGCATTTATTCCCTTTTATAAAATTACTATCAATATATATTTTAAAATTAGAAGTGTATATTTATTATACACACCTGTATTTCTAAATATATTAACCACATGGGAACTACAAGGTAATAAGACCAAAATCTAAATGAATTAATAGCTAACTATTAATATCTTTATTGACCTTGGGAAATTAGATAGAAACAAATATACATAAAAGCTAAAATAAGGAGGAAATAATCACATGTTGAGTTTTGGGTTACAAGGATGTTTTCAATTAAGGAAATGGCATCTGATATAGTGCAACTAAAAGTTGCATAATCAGGAATGCCTTTTTCTTAATACTCGTTTCATACCCGTTTTTCAGTATTACTTAAAGACCAGTTTTTTGGTTGTTGAGATACAGCTTGCACCACATGATGAGGGCCAACAGCCTGAAGTGCATAGTATGTGGTTAGCTTCTCTTGATTAATCAAGAAAGGGTATTTGGCCAATTCTGCATAATTAAAAATCAATGATTAGTTGATATTTATTCCGATGATAGTGTAAGCCATCAGCAACTCCATGATCAGGAGATGCCTTTTTTTTTTTTAATTTATCCTCCTGATCCTAGTATAATTTCCTTTTGTACTATTTTTCAAGGATATTTTGAATACAGTACAAGAATGTCATCTTTTTTTTTTTATATACATTTAGTTCAACATCATAGAATGGGGGTGCAGCTTTTGTTGATCAAATGATGCAGGCGCACTTTGGTGAAAGTGACTTAGCCTATCATTTGAGGCTGTTCCTAACATTTGACGCAGTTCCTCCCCATCCCTGGAGAGGGACTTTTGTTGAGGTCTATCAACCAGGTCAGTTGAACTTGGAATTTTAAAGAGTTCTTTCTAGCTATGCTGCTGTTGGTCCATAACTGCCTATTCTGCCTTTTTCACTGCTGGCCTAAATATCTGAAGGTCTTTCTCTTATCCACCACCTGGGGACATACCCTGTGGCAGTCGGTTCTGCTGAGAATTCATCTTCAATGGATACCCTCACATGTCAACAATGAAGCTGCTGATGTGCTGTTAAAAAAAAAAAAAAAGCACAAGAGAACCCTTGCCACAAAAATAAAAAGAAATAGAGACAGTAGCCAAAACAAAAATAAACAAGAACTGGAGAATCCCTCCTGAGCACAGCTGGTACAGTGGAGTGGACCCAGGAGCAGCTCTGAACCTTAGAAATAGACAGCATCAAACAACACTGACAAAATTTAGAACAGACCATCTCACAAGCCATTGAAGATAGAAAATAACAAAATCTACCCCACTTGCCCAAAATGTAGTTGGCACCTGCAGCTCCAGAACACATTTTGGCTTGCCTTAGATGCACTAAACAGGACATTTGGGAGAGGCCGCTGCTTATCTAGCAGCTCAAGCATGGACTCATTGAAATTGTTTAATCATTGCACAAAGGGATAAGGAAGAACAGAAGAAGAGAAAATAATCTAAATAGTTTAATAAAAATTGTTTTACTTCCCTTTGTTACTTATTGGATAAGTCCTGGTTGATCAGTTCCAGTATTTTTAGCTGTATTTTCTATAAAGTTGTTTGATAAGGACAAACTGTGACAACCCAGTGTTTGGTTTTTCATTATCTTAAGGGGGTGTGAGTAAGCATTTGTTATCTAAAAACCTGGAATTGTTTGTCTACTCATGCTGTGGGATTAAACATGTGACCATTGGTATGACTCAGTATTTTGTTCAATAAGACCATTTGATTAAATGAAGATGGAGAGAACAGAGGCTTGACATCATTGTGAAAGGTGGCAGTACTCACCAAAAGACAAGGTCAAATGCAACTAAGTAAATTGTGGTGAATATTTGATAGCTTTTTTTTTTTTTTACCCTTTTTTTTTTAAATAATTCAGCCACTATCCAATTGTGAATTTTAAGTTTTCACCTTGATTTGTTTTATATAGGGGACTGTATATATGTTACAAGAAAGGTGTGTATGGCAGAGGAGTGCTGAAAATAGGGGTATGTGGAGGGGCATTGGTGGCCTCCGTCAGGAGCGGGGTGTGGAGCTCTACGCAGGAAACCCTGGAGGCCTACCACAACCTCCGCAACCAGAGTCCCTTAGTGGCTAGCCAGCTGGACCAGATCCCTTCCTGTGAGAACATTTCCAAGTCCATCAAACAGATGTGGAACAACGGTGAGTGACCTACACCACAGACTTCCCAGTAGAAAGCTATTGGCTCATGTGTTTGGCAGAATCAGCCAATTTCATCATAATAATATATTTGCCTAATCTCCAATATCCAGGAGTATCTGTGTAGTCTCTCATGAGGAGGTATACTTTATAAAGACTAAAGTTATGGAGAAATGTCACAGATAAGACTTATTATGGCTGAATCCCTTTAGAGAAGGTGCACTTGTGTTACTGTAACCAAAACATCTTCATAAACTTTTTCAAAAAGAGTTCACATTGCTCAAACTACTGCTCCTCTACAACTATTCACTTCCTTTGTATCTCTCACCTCCTGGTTTACACAACTTCTTTTAGCCCAATTCACTGGTTTCCTTAGAGTATAAGGAAGGATACGGGAACCAGTGACTCATTGGGTTAAGATGGGTTGTCCCTACTTCACTGAAGAATGGCAAGCAGGCTGTGTGGAAGCTCACTCCAGATATTGGCATTTTCCGGGTTTGCCATGTATAGTGAGAGTAGTTGTGTATATATCGGTGTTGGCATGATTATTGCTATGTGTGTAAATATATTCATGTGTGATGAATATTCCAGTATTGGCATGTGTGTACATATGTAGTGGTATTCATAAAATATATGTCTGTATATACATGCAACAATTGTATGTGCTAGGTATGCACTTTGCATTGCAACTTGATTGACATAATTTCCAGCATTGTAATTATCCGCATGTGTTTATGTATGCATGTGTGTGTATAAAATTATGTAAGAAATTTACGCCTGTTTCATCCTGGTTACCACCAGGCATGTCTGGGGCAAGCAACTAGGCTGGCCATTTTCTTTGAACAACTTCTTTTAGCCCGATTTGCTGTTTCTCTGAATGTGTTTGAATTTAGAGAAACAGTGACTGGGGTTAAAATGGGTTGACTTGACATCACTGAAGAAAGCAGAAAGACAGAGAACATTTCTGGGAGAAGCAATCAGGATACATGGACAATCATATCCAACTTCTTTTAGCCAGATTCACTGGTTCCTTTATGGAATATGGATATGGGAACCAGTGACTCATTGGTTAAAATGGGTTGTCCTAACTTCACTGAAGATGGTGAGCTTCCAGATATGAAGCGAGAGAGATGTAGAGTAATTCTGTTGCACCTTTCTCTGACTGAATCTGTAGTTGATAGACCTCCTTATAGCCATTGCCAATATTTGAACAAAAATGATTTATTCCTAGCTGATTAAGACAATTCAAGAGAATGTCAAATTTTTAGAAAAAAATGTATCCCTTGTTTATTGATTTTCCTTTTTCTCACAGTTGTATAATCAAAATTTGCTAAAAGTTATAAGCAGAAATTGCACTGTATCCCTTAAGGTCACTATAGTCAATTCTTGTTTTTTATTAAAGCCATTAGAACAAAATTTGTGCCCACAAATATTGAAAGTGTGTCACAACCCCTGCACTGTTTGTCCACTAATACTTGATGGTAAATCACAACCTTGTGTGCTGTGTGTCCGCTAATTCTGGATGGTGGATCACAACCTAGCGGGCTGTGTCCGCTAATACTGGATGGTGTATCACAATCCCATGTGCTGCGTGTCCGCTAATACTGGATGGTGTATCACAACCTAGTAGGCTGTGTGTCCACTAATACTGGATGGTGGATCACAACCTAGTGGGTTGTGTGTCCACTAATACTGGATGGTGTATCACAACCTATAGTGGGCTGTGTGTCCACAAATACTGGATGGTATATCACAACCCCATGTGCTGTGTGTCCTCTAATATTGGATGGTGTATCACAAACTAGTAGGCTGTGTCCTCTAATACAGAATGGTGTATCAAACCTTGTGCGCTTGTATGTCCGCTAATTATTGATGGTGGGTCAAAATCTAGAGTGCTGTCTTTGCTAATACTGGATGGTGGATCACAACCTAGAGTGCTGTCTTTGCTAATACTGGATGGTGGATCACAACCTAGAGTGCTGTCTTTGCTAATACTGGATGGTGGATCACAACCTAGAGTGCTGTCTTTGCTAATACTGGATGGTGGATCACAACCTAGAGTGCTGTCTTTGCTAATACTGGATGGTGGATCACAACCTAGAGTGCTGTCTTTGCTAATACTGGATGGTGGATCACAACCTAGAGTGCTGTCTTTGCTAATACTGGATGGTGGATCACAACCTAGAGTGCTGTCTTTGCTAATACTGGATGGTGGATCACAACCTAGAGTGCTGTCTTTGCTAATACTGGATGGTGGATCACAACCTAGAGTGCTGTCTTTGCTAATACTGGATGGTGGATTCCAACCTAGAGTGCTGTCTTTGCTAATACTGGATGGTGGATCCAAACCTAGAGTGCTGTCTTTGCTAATACTGGATGGTGGATCACAACCTAGAGTGCTGTCTTTGCTAATACTGGATGGTGGATCCAAACCTAGAGTGCTGTCTTTGCTAATACTGGATGGTGGATCACAACCTAGAGTACTGTCTTTGCTAATACTGGATGGTGGATCACAACCTAGAGTACTGGATGGTGGATCACAACCTAGAGTGCTGTCTTTGCTAATACTGGATGGTGGATCCAAACCTAGAGTGCTGTCTTTGCTAATTCTGTGTGGTGGATCACAACCTAGAGTGCTGTCTTTGCTAATACTGGATGGTGGATCCAAACCTAGAGTGCTGTCTTTGCTAATACTGGATGGTGGATCACAACCTAGAGTGCTGTCTTTGCTAATTCTGTGTGGTTGGTGTATCACAACCCTGCCTGCTGTGTTTCTGCTAATAGTGTGTGGTTGGTGTATCACAACCCTGCCTGCTGTGTTTCTGCTAATAGTGTGTGGTTGGTGTATCACAACCCTGCCTGCTGTGTTTCTGCTAATACTGTGTGGTTGGTGTATCACAACCCTGCTTGCTGTGTTTCTGCTAATAGTGTGTGATTGGTGCATCATAACCCTGCTTGCTGTGTTTCTGCTAATAGTGTGTGGTTGGTGTATCACAACCCTGCCTGCTGTGTTTCTGCTAATAGTGTGTGGTTGGTGTATCACAACCCCGCCTGCTGTGTTTCTCCTAATGGTGTGTGGTTGGTGTATCACAACCCTGCCTGCTGTGTTTCTGCTAATAGTGTGTGGTTGGTGTATCACAACCCTGCCTGTTGTGTTTCTGCTAATTCTGTGTGGTTGGTGTATCACAACCCCGCCTGCTGTGTTTCTCCTAATGGTGTGTGGTTGGTGTATCACAACCCTGCCTGTTGTGTTTCTGCTAATGGTGTGTGGTTGGTGTTTCACAACCCTGCCTGCTGTGTTTCTGCTAATGGTGTGTGGTTGGTGTATCACAACCCTGCTTGCTGTGTTTCTGCTAATTCTGTGTGGTTGGTGTATCACAACCCCGCCTGCTGTGTTTCTCCTAATGGTGTGTGGTTGGTGTATCACAACCCTGCCTGCTGTGTTTCTGCTAATGGTGTGTGGTTGGTGTATCACAACCCTGCCTGCTGTGTTTCTGCTAATGGTGTGTGGTTGGTGTTTCATAACCCTGCTTGCTGTGTTTCTGCTAATAGTGTGTGATTGGTGCATCACAACCCTGCTTGCTGTGTTTCTGCTAATAGTGTGTGGTTGGTGTATCACAACCCTGCCTGCTGTGTTTCTGCTGGTACTGTGTGGTTGGTGTATCACAACCCTGCCTGCTGTGTTTCTGCTAATAGTTTGTGGTTGGTGTATCACAACCCCGCCTGCTGTGTTTCTCCTAATGGTGTGTGGTTGGTGTATCACAATCCTGCCTGCTGTGTTTCTGCTAATGGTGTGTGGTTGGTGTATCACAACCCTGCCTGTTGTTTCTGCTAATAGTGTGTGATTGGTGTATCATAACCCTGCCTGCTGTGTTTCTGCTAATAGTGTGTGGTTGGTGTATCACAACCCTGCCTGCTGTGTTTCTGCTAATGGTGTGTGGTTGGTGTATCACAACCCTGCCTGTTGTATGTGCTCATGATGGAGATGAGTTAAACAAATGAACCCACTATAGAAGAGACCACCTGGCAATAGGGAGGTTGGGTTAGCTCAAATTGGTAATGAGAGGTTTTACTGTGTTCTCAATGTGATATGGCCTGCCAATGTGTAATTTATACCATATTATATTTCGGCACTGACACCATCTTCAGAATATTCATTGTTAGAGAATTGTAGCAAAGCTGTTTCTAAAATGCTATATATAAATTGCTTATTTTTAATTTATAGGTCCTCATAAAAATAAATTTGTATCTATGATCTAAATTGTTTGTTCTAACTTTTATTTCCCTGTAGTACACTGAAGATGCAGAAAGATGTTATGTGCAGGAGTATACACAGTGTTTGACGGCCTCCTGAAGGCCCCCGGTGTGGTGAAGGAGAAGGGAGCACAGCTGGGGGAACTAGCCAAGGGCAAGATGGATGAACTCAGTAAAGCATCCTAAATTGTTGTTGTTGAAGAATAAATTGTTTATAGCTGTCTGTCTGCATTTATATCTAGAGCAGATGGAGGAGCTCTTCCTTGGCTTTTTGACAATTTTGATCAATCACAAACTTTTTTTGCTTATACAGTATCATCCCCTGTTACATCACGGAAAGTTTTTTGACTCAAGGGGATGAGTGAAATTTTATGATGGCCAACCTCCATATATCAGAAATGGTACTACGCGAGTGTTTTTACATTTAGACAATGACGAGGTAGTGTAACTTCAATACTATCCTCGTTGATCCAACAAAGTTAGATTTAAAGCTGTAGAGTATATGGAAGTCAACTACTATGGTATTCCCTTAGCTGGAGGACAACAGGAGCTGTTTTCTCTGGAATATCCCAGATTGTTATCATCATATACTACCATCTCCAATATACCATTTGTTCTGTGATCTTTACCTCTTCATATCTTGTAATTTCAAATCATTCTATGATATATTGAACCTATGTAATATAGTGTAAATCTCCTGTAATTAAATATTGCAACAGGTTTCTGGATATGAGTTTATTTTATAGAGAAACACATCTCTAAAAACCTGTTGATATTGAACCAATAAAATCCAGGTCAATTTCTATGTTTTTTCTGCTTATCCCTAGTACACGTAGTACAGGCCATGATAATCATGGTGGGTAGTTAGCAACTGCTTTTACTGTAAGCGCACCACATGTCTACACATGTGAAAAGCAGTTCGACTTTGCACTTACAAATGTGCCAGAGCCCCGTTTGGTTACTTGCACTCGCTGGTGGGGTTGGACTTTTGCAAAAATCGGGGGGCCATTGGAGCATTTTTTTTTTTTAACAGAAAAAAAGTGTGCAATGCGGGAATCGAACCCGGGTCATAGTGGTCGAAAACCAAACGGTTTAACCAGCCCTCCACCGAACCCCCCAATTTCTATGTAAATAACACAAGATGATTATTACCTTACCCAATTGGGAGAATCTGTATGGGGCAAGTCCCTAATAAAGGCTTTTGTGTGTATGTGTTTGTATATATTGAACCAATCCTTCCTTGCTTTACCTCTCCTGGCAGCAGCATTCTTCAAGGTGTATGTATTTCCAGATAATACTTGGCTTGCAAACTTCCATTTCCTTCTGATGGCTTCATTTAGAAGCCAGATATACTCTCCATTAAGCTTCTGTTTTCACCCTTTCTCACCATTTGATTTTGAGACTTTTTCTAACAAACTAGATGTGAACAGTCACTTTCCACTTCTCTCAGCTTCATTGCCCTACAGGAAAACGGACCAATTTAAGCATCCTTCTTTACATATTCAAATATCTTCTTAAAATCTCTTTATTTCTTTAAAAAGTATCTTAGGTCTTTGCAATTCTTTCTGACCTGGCTTCCATTCACATCTTTGTTTTTCTTTTATGGTGTTTCCAAGGTAAAAAAAAGTATTTTGTTCAATTTCCATATCATCAATATTCATTTTTTAGGTGAATTGTAAAGGAAACCTATTACTTTTTTTTGTCTTCTTGAGTTTCATTCCATTTGATCTTCTTCTTTCTTATCTCCACTCAATCATATTAGGGTATCATGACTGGGTGAAGTAGAATGCGTCTGCCTTTTTCATTAAGACTGGGAGCAC